TACAAGTCTCTCTCTCTCTCTCTCTCTCTCTCTCTCTCTCTCTCTCTCTCTCTCTCTCTCTCTCTCTCTCTCTCTGTCTTGCAATTATATTAAAACTTAAATTTATTGCTTTGTAATATATATATATATATATTTTTTTTTAATTTTGCAATATAGGATTATGGAAGAATGCACTTGAAATAAGACATTATCAAGGCTAAATTTCTGAATATAGACATTATACATATTACGAAATAACAAAATACATGATAAACATTTATACGTCAATATGTAATGTATGAAACATATCAAAGGCTTTCTCATATAGATATAACAAAGTACGATTCATAATTTCTACATCCATTATCTTCACCTAAAATAAAAAATTAAATATTTCAAACAATATAAACATATTTTTAAAAAAATTAACATGTAAAAAATTGACAAATATAAGAAATGTATTTCGAGAGAAATACAGTTCAAACACAGTTTAAATCTTAATAAAAACTAAGAAAATGTTTTTTGATAAACTTAAAACAAATATAAGAACTTACTCTGTTTTCCATTATCGTTAATCCAGGTAGATTAATTCTATGCAATGTACATACTCCCAATTATATTCCTCCTATTGTTAACATTTGCATATGTAGAACATCATAGAACTGTTCTGTGTTTAAGGTCAAGAATTGTGTTAACCATATTGTTATCTTGGTTTACAATGCTATAAATTAGTAAACAAAATGAAATGTTAATTGCAGACAATTTTAAGTATTCTTGTACAATTGAATATTAATACTACATGCATACCTTGTTAATATTTTCCTTAGCTCTGAGATATCAAATTTGACTTTAATGGTATCTGTAACTGGTAATTCTGGTACTGTGTATTCCATATTATGAACTTTACCAGAAATTATAGGTTCCTCATGTTTGTTAACTGATATAATCATAATTGGAATAAGTTACTTTAGGTCATTCTCATCAACTAGCAATGCTATTACCATACAGTCAAACATGTGAATAATAACAACATTTACAGCATTCATATAATTACGTATGCCACGATACAATAGAAGAGGCAATCTTGTGGAATTCTTTGTGTCTGGTTGAATCTGTGTTGTTGTCCAAGGTAATAATATTCCTTTGTAAATGGATTTTTCTTCATGTCCACTAGTTTTGGCTAAAACTTTTATCTAAAATATATATTTTTAGTAATTTCAAATTTTACTCATTCTCTCTGATAATATATAATTAGTGACATATACATTTAATATCTTTAAATATAACTTACTCAAATATATTATGTTCCCTATTTATACATAATTTATAATTATACATATACATATATATATGTGTGTGTGTGTGTGTGTGTGTGTGTGTGTGTGTGTGTGTGTGTGTGTGGGTGTGTGTGTGTGTGTGTGTGTATGTGTGGGTGTGTATTATATATATTTGTGTATTATATATATTTGTAATTAACCTTTATTGCTGAATAATTTTCATGGCTAGTTCTGGATGTAATATTCTCCATTATAGAAAAATTTGCATTATATGTTAGATCTTCATGAGATAAACATTTGCAATTTCTTCTTTCAATTTCTTTGAGTATAGTTTCAAAGAGACATCACGTTGGAAACCAAATAGAGCAGATACTGCACAAATGTTCCATGTCTGATCTACTAGATCTGCAATCTATCGCATTCTATCAATACGTTTTGTTGATGAATATTATACCAGTTTAATACACCGTTGCTTATATATATCGTCGATATTAAGATTATTTAATAGAGTTACTATTTAATACGCGTATCAACTGCACGATGTAAACCAAGCCACTAGGTACCTATTGGCGGCTAATTTAATATCTAAAGGTGTCGTATTTCCACCCCCTCGTGCGAGCTGTTCTCAAAACGGACTATATCAAAGCCAAATAATTCGTAGAGGTTTTTAGTGAAGGAATTTTCGTTTAAAGTTGTCTAGAAAAAAAGGTACAGCCCCTACGAAATTAAGGGTGGCGTATTTCCACCCCCTTGTGAGGACTGTTCTCTAAACTAACTATATCGGAGCCAAATAATTCGTAGTGGTTTGTAATGAAGGAATTTTCGTTTGTAGTTGTCCAGAAACAAAATGGCGGCCAATTTAATAACTAACTCAGCGAAAACGTAGACGTAGATTCGACGTCTAACCGTCTAGACGTCGAAGAGGTCTAAGTTACGTGTAGTCTAAATGCACGTTTAGAAAAATGGCAATTTAAATGTCTTCTATTTTAAGTAAATTTTAATGTTTTAGAACCCATTCATAATTTATTGACCATTAAAAGAGAGTTTTCGATAAAATTTCGGAATTTTATTTTGTCGATTATTTACAATCTCTCTAGACGTCTATTCGATATTGAATCAACGTCTAATATCCCAGTGAGAAATGACTTATCGATCGACGACGAAAAGACGTCGAATCGACGTCTATTTGACGATTTCGACGTCGATTCGACGTCTTTTCGACGTCAATAAATAAGTCATTTCTCACTGAGGTCGCGCGCGTTTTGCATAAAAAATTTATTCTAAGTGAAAACGTCAGTTTTTTTTTTAGATTTCCAATTCAATTATAGTATTACAAAGATAGGAATGTCAGATTACTCGAAAAACATTAAACTGGAAGGAATAATCAAAGTCATTTTGCAAATAACTACATAAACTTTAGAAATATTATATAAAATAGACAAGCGAATCAATGCGTGTATTTGCTAGGTTAACGTTATAATGTACTGTGAACACTGTAAATATTCATTTTATAAGCATAAATTGTAAGAACATCATTGGAGTCATTGGAACACCGCGTGCCGCTCGATCGTCACTCGAGATTAAGCAACGCAGTCAGGATGAATGGATGGTGACCACTTCGAATTCGAAATTTTCGTGGCAGGATTCGCAAAAGTTTTAGCGTGTGTTTGGCAATCTTCGGTTTCTAGCAGTTTATAAGACATAAAGAAAATTAGGAATTAGTTATTTTTATGAAATAATTTAGTGAGAAGTGACTTATCGATCGACGTCGAAATGACGGTCTATTACCCTTATAGAAATATTATACTAAGAATCATTGATTATTACTTATTATCCAGTATTTTTAATACTGAAAATAAGTAATTATCAATGATTCTTAGTATGATATTTCTATAAGGGTAGACGTCGATGAGACGTCGAAATGACGGTCTATTAGACATCTAAATATGGACCGTTTTTAGGTCGATGTAAATCTTAATCTAGATTAGATATAGATGGTAGATAGACGTCATATAGACATCTAGTAGACGTCGAATCGACGTAACCTTTCTCGCTGCGAGAGTTGGCGTATTACTCCTTCGTAAGGAACTATTCTCTAAACCGATTATATCAAAGCCAAATAATTCGTAGAGGTTTGTAGTGAAGAAATTTTCGTTTGTAGTAAAAAAGTAAAAAAGTTACAGGGGGAAACCGAAAAAATTGCCAGCCCCCAAAAATAGGGAGCTCACTTAAGAAGTGACCTAAGCGACTCCTAATTCGTAGAAGTTTGTAGTGAAGGAAGTTTCTTTTGTAGTTGTCCAGAAAAAAAGTTGCAGCCCCCTTCGAAATTAAGGGAGGCGTAATTCCACCCCCTCATGAGAGGCTGTTCTCTAAACCGACTATATCGAAACCAAATAATTCGTAGAAGTTTGTAGTGAAGGAATTTTTGTTTGTAGTTGTCTAGAAACAAAATGGCGGCCAATTTAATATTTAAGGGAGGCGTATTTCCATCCGAGTGGATTTCAATTGACCACGGTACGATTAGACATAATTTGTAACGATTGGTTCGGCCTAATAATTCACTAGATAATTCTTCTCATCGATTGGTTATGTCCAATCGTACCGCGGTCAATCGGAACGCTCCCATTTCCACCTCCTCGTGAGGGGCTGTTCACTAAACCAGCTACATCAACTCCAAGTAATTCGTAGAGGTTTGTAGTGAAGGAATTTTCGTTTGTAGTTATCCAGAAAGAGGAGGTGCAAATACGCCATCTTTAAATATTAAATTGGCCGCTATTTTGTTTCTGGACATATACAAGCAAAAATTCCTTCGCTACAAACCTTTATGAATTATTTCGAATCGATATAGCCGATTTAAAGAACAGTCCCTCAAGGAGAAGGAAATACGCTACCCTTAATTTCTTAGGGGCTGTATCTTTTTTCTGGACAACTACAAACTAAAAT